TTTTTCTTTTTTTTTTCCCTCTTTTTTTTTCCCCCTCTTTTTTTTTCCCCTCTTTTTTTTTTTTTTTTTTTTTCGTTTCTTTTTTTTGACAGACTGGCAGACAACCCACCTAAGACATGTGTATCCCATAACTGCTCCGAGTATGAAACACAAGGAAAGGGGGTCGCAAAGAGACAATCAATTGTTCCTCTGGATGGGTTTGATCTTTAGACCCCTTGCTGTCTATATTCTGTCCCCACTTTTCCAGAGTCATTGGTTTCCTTAATAATTGAATTAATCTCCTTGGTTGCATATCTGCCTGCAGGCGAAGATACTAAGTTACGGACTGACTTTTTTTTTTTTTTTTTTGAAGTTACGGATCAACTTTGAGAACGTGCACGTGTCATCACCTGTTTGTTCTATCAGCTTCTATGCCAATTGATTGTTTGTTGTCTGCGGGGATTTATATGGAGATACTGAGAGGGTGCACATGTTGTCCTCCGTTTCCCTTGTGGCAATCGATTCTCTGTCGTCTGCGGGGATTTGTTGGAGGTGCAATGATCGGCTTCGGGATGGGTATTGGTTGAATGCAGTTACATGATAATGAATGAAGAAACCTTGCAGAGAATCGTTAAGGCCCGACCATCGTCACTTGCTCGCCTGCGCTACTTGGAGGGAGTCAATGAGGTATAGTCGTCAACATGCACAACGCCTTCCCGAGTTTGTAGTATTTCACGTAACATTTTTTTGTACATGTTCTCCCCCCACCTCCCTTCGCCCCTCCCTCCCTCCCCCTCCCTTCTGTCCCTTTTCCGTCCTTCTTTCTCCTTCCTTTTTCTTTAAAAGCGTGACGACCTTCAGATGTCATCTTCCCACCGACCGCCCTCAAGTACATTCAGAATTGCATGTGGATTCAAACTGGGGTCTTTTGTTTCGACAGTTCATGGCTGTACCAACTGAGCTAGCCGAGTTGGTCCCATAACATTTCTTTCCCCGAGAAGTTTTTGAATTTTTGCAATAACTCAAGTTCAAAATCTGCACGAAGCTCAGCCCTCTCGTGGCCCGGGGTACCCCTTGGGCCTTTGGCCTTTTGTTCTAAGACTTGGGGGCGTGGCTTTTGCCCTCTCGTGCGGGCCAGGGGTCGTAACTTGTGGTGAAAGGCCCGCACGAGAAGGCAAAAGCCACACCCAAGTCTGAGAACAAAAGGCCTAAGGCCAAGGGGTACCCTGGGCCAAGACAGGCGACAGTTGACCTTGGGAAAGTTAACAGTCCACCCAAGTACGGGAGACCAGGCCCAAAAGTCGAAGTCAACCCGCTCGTCAGCCATGGACGTAGATCAGATGCGCATCATTGCTTGTCTGCAGGTATCCAGAAGAATCTGGCCCAAGCGGGACACATAGGAAATCTGCAACTACACCGCATTCAGGCCATTGGCTTCAGATTGATCTGGGCCGTCGCCTCGAGGAGACCAGAGGCTGCTCAACGCGAGTCAACAGTATGAGTTGACTCATCCCCTGCTTGGAGTCGTTCAGTCTTGTGCATTCTGCTTGACGCTGGCTTGATGCTAGTGCGACGACGCAAGGCTGCGAGAGCATCGTGCTGGCACCAGATTGTGAGTGTGGGCGCCAGCCTTGAGGGTGATTATGCTGCCGGGATATAGCCACATTCATTGCGACATTGACGAGAGTGAGGGCGAGGAGGAGGAGGATCTGGACATGGACTGTGAGATTGGTATGAGGGAGAAGGGCAGCGTACCTGGACGTACCTGTGACGATGCCTGTGCTGTGCTGCTTGTCTTCAAGGCGGAGATCTGCGCCATCCTCCTTGGCTGCTGCTGATGTGGCAGGAGGATGTGCGCCCTGCTGTCACCTGTTCGTTGCATACGTCAGAGATTGTCAGAGGAGGACCGTATTGCTGATGGGGTGAGCAGAGAGGGCGGTGAGACTGAGAAGAGTTTGGATCGTGCGGAAACTCTCCTCCTCCTCCTCTTCTCAGTCTCCCCTCCCTCTTCGGGCATTTCCCCCCCAGCTCGCCCCGTCAGCGGAGAGGGAGGTGAGACTGGGAGAACAAGGAGAGAGAGGGAGGTGAGACTGAGAGGAGGAGGAGGAGGAGGAGAGTTCCCGTACGATCCAACGAAGGGAATTCCTCTGAAGCCCTCTTCCTCTTCGGGCATTTCCCCCCCAGCTTGCCCCGTCAGCAATATGGTTTTCCTATGCGACGGGGGGAAATGCCCGAAGAGGAAGAGGGCTTGACAGGAATTCTCCTTTGTTGGATCGTATGGAAACTCTCCTCCTCCTCCTCCTCCTCCTCCTCCTCCTCTCAGTCTCACCTCCCTCTCTCTCCTCGATCTCTTCTCTGGGTTCGGGACATTGGGAGACTACATGTATGACGAGCATGGATTCATGAACAATTTTTGGAGACATTGATGCCGTGCTGTGTCAGACTTGTATCACAACATTTTGTGAGCTTCTCATCTGTCTGGGTTCATTGCATTTTCATCTTTTTGGATTTTAAGCTGGGCCCTTCCCGGCGGGACCATCCCTGGACCTGGCTAGGCCAAGCCTTAGGCTTGGGCAGCCAGACGCAGCCAGAGCCAGCCTCAGGCTGGGAACCAAGCGTTGCTCTTAACTCGGTGATCCTCTGAACCTGGTCTATATAGTGTTATACACTCCTTACCCGCAAGGGTCCATGTGGGAGTAATGCTGCCTTTTTTTTTTTTTTTTTCACCTGATTTGGTGACCCTTGCTCGGAACATCCAGACACTGTCGAAACCATTCTGCAAGATTGATCAGATCAATCAACAAAAAAAGGAAAAAGAAAAAAAAGAGAGAAAACTCAGAAAACAAGAAGATCGATATCCTGGTCGGGACTGTGCAAGCTGTGCTTTTTCCAAATTTCGCCGTGTTAGCACCATTTTTAAATGATTTCTTTTTGCCTCCGTCATCAAAAAAATATCTCGAACAAAAATGGCTGGATTGTAACAAACAAACGGTCTAACCAGCTTTTTCGCTCATCATGATTGTTTTTTATTTGAATTCTTTAATTTCTTTTGCAATTCCACTGCGCCACCATGCAAGTCATTTCATTCATTTTTTGTTTTCGTTTCTTTTTCTCTTTCAGTGGCTCGCTCAGCGACATGGCGACACCCTTATCTCAAGGATTCAGGAGTTTTCAGCATTGCGCGGACTGTCACTGGACCCCCCTGTAGCTGCGCCACCAGCTCTGGATCTTGATCCAGGTGTCAAGCCATCGGCGTCAGCGCGTACAGGTGACAGGTCCAAAGTAACGCCAGCGAAAGAAGAAGCATGGCGTCTATTCCATCAGGAAGGAATGAGTATCGAAAAGATTGCTGTCAGTTCTTTACCCCTCAACTCCTTTTCCCTGTAAATCCAAAATGTGAATGAATTTGAATGAAATACTGAAAGATAGACCTCCCTGCTAGGTTTGTGAGAAACAGGGGGGGGGGGG